TCCCTTTTCTGGCCAATGCACTTGCGGAAGGAAGCCTTTGTTAGTCTTCATGTCCCTTGCCAAAGCCGCCTCCAAGCGTGCTTTGCAGAGCGTTGGTGGCCAAGGGGCTTTTCTGCAGGGCTGCTTTCCAGCTGGTCACTCCTCACGTGCCCTGGTGCCCCGGGTTGTTCCTCCCCGAGGTCAGGACTTTGCACTTGCCCTTGTGCAGTCCTTGAGATTCCCCTCAAGCCGTTTCTCCAGCCTGCCCGGATCCCTCTGGATGGCTGCACAGCCTTCTGCTGCATCAGCCGCTCCTCCCAGTTTGGGATCCTGCGCGGCCCTGTGCGGGTACGCTGCGTTCCGTCACTCCAGATCGTCCTGGAGGCTCTTCTGTGGGACTGGACCCACTTTTGACCCCTGCAAAGAGCCTGCAGGGTGGCTGCAGTTCTTCCAAATTCGGGCAGAGCAGCAGATCTGCAGAGGTGCCAAGGGGCACAGGTATCTCAGCTTGGCATTGTTTGCAGATTGCCCCGAGTCATTTTCCAGGTGAAGTTGTTTCGTGGCACAGTTACAACTGTATCCCAAAGGCTACACTTACTGATGGCCCTGCTAGCACGTAAGCATCTCATGCTGCCATCTGAATGTGGTCATTCAGCTTGCAGCCCTGTCTCTTAGCTTCATTTCCCTACCTCAGGTCCCTGCCTCACGTCACAGACTCGCATTTCACTCCTGTAGCCTGATCTCTGCAGTGAATCACTGCACATTAATAGTCTGAAACTTTCAGATTTCCCTCCCCAGCAGACTTCCCTGGGAGCGATTCTAAGCACTGCTGCATCTCTCCGTATGCTTAGACTCACGTGATGGCTTCGGTTGGGAAGGACCTTCAAGCCCGCTCAGTTCCAGCCCTTTGCCATGGCCAGGGTTTCCATGTGGCAGCTCAGGCATCACAGGCTCCATCCAACGTGGCCTTGAATGCCTCTGGGGATGGGGCCCCCCCACTCCTCTGGCAGCAGCGCCAGGGCCTCAGCGCCCTCTGAGTAAAGAGATTTCTCTTTGCGTGGAACCTAAATCTCCCTCTGTTTTGCTGAAAACTGTTCCCCCTGGTCCTGTCTCTGTCTGACAGTGTGAGCAGTTGCTCTCTCTCCTGTTAAGCTCCCTTTAAGTGCTGGAAGGCTTGGAATCCAGACGCAAGAGGCATGAGATTTGCTTGTAAGCATAGCTGGGTACAGACTGAATGCCTGCGCGGGCAGGTGAGCCTCACAAGCAGTAATGAGCCGCTTGGTGGGGCAGAGTCAGCGCCATGATGGCAGGGGATGGCTGCAGGATGGGCTGGGCTGTGTGCCAGCGGGCTGGAATGCCAAGGCTCAGCTGCTTACAGCCGTGATGGGAATTAGTGTCGCTGAATGTAGCGTGAGAGGTTGGTCGAGCTGTAGTGTTTCTTGTTGGAATAAAACCCAGGGAGGTTTGCTTAGTCTAAAGTGTGTGTAGGGTGGCCCTCACGTTATGCATCTTGCAAGTGTTGTAGCAACAGCAGAGATCAGATTTACGCAAGGGAAGGCAACTTTTCTTACTTTCTGGAGGCAGAAATTGAGGGGAGGTGTTTGGAAATGCTGCTAAGCATGGATGATTCAAAAGAGGTTGCAGTAACATCATGTCCAAGATTTTTCTTGGTTGTCCAAGGAAACCAGGTGCCAGGCCTCGTGCTCGCTGCGTTGGATTCAATGCCTATCGTGTACATCCAGGTGGTGGCTTACAGTAGCACCTCAGGCTGTTTTCTGGGAGGAACACAAGCCATGTCAGCACTCTCCTGACTGACACAACTGTCTTGCTTGCAAGGGGCTGCTGTCTGTGTGCTGCGGGCACACCTCACTTGCTCTGACTTCACTATGGCACTCCATGGTGCCATTTAAGCCCTCTGCCCCCCTAGTGCGTGCTGCCACGCAGTCACAGAGCTCGGGCTCTCAGGGTTCTGGAAGTCAATGGCTGGTTTCTCCAGCCGACCCCTTCCTCATTCCCCGTCCCTGTTTTGCACTGGGATTCCAGGCTTACGGTTTAGCTTCCCGAAAGAACTAGACACAACAACTGCTCATTTGAGGGTGTGTGGATGTTTATTGGAATGTTTATGCCCAGATCCCCCCACACCCTCTCTGTGGCCTCCAGGAGGGCCATCCCAGCGCCGTCCTTGTAGCGGAGATGTTGTGTTCTTCCACCACTCGGCCGCCATTTGCTGGGCTCCGTGCAGTGCCTGGGTGGCTGGTAGCAGCAGCCCCAACCTGGGCACTGTGGGCTGACCGAGGCCGATCAGCGGGGTACGGAAGGATGAGCTGGAGCTGCTGGTGGTCTGCTCCAGCAGGGCGGGAAAGTGATGGTAAGAAGTGATGGTCAGTCCCTGTGCCGTTCCCGGCTGAGGTTGGGCCGCCCGCTCACAAGGGGGGCCCGACGGGGTGCCGCGCGGGCTCCCCGGCACCCATCTGCCGCTCCCGTGCCACCCGCCTCAGCCACTCGCGGTCCTCGTCCTGCCGCGGCAGTTCTTCAAAGCGGCTGCGCTGGTGGAGCTCCCCGTGCCACGAGGAGCTGCGCACCAGCCGGCGGGGGGACCTGGAGCGGCTGCGCGGCGGGCTGCGTGGTGGGACGCTGCGGGAGCGCCGGGCAGATCTTGCCTCCCGCCGCTCCCTGGTGCGCTGCAGCTTCCCCTGGGGCGAGCAGGTCGGGGGCACAGCCGAGGGGCGCCAGTCCAGCCGCTGCTTGGCGAATATTCTCTGCCGGCACAGGGGGCAGCGAGGACTGTTGGCCATCCATTCCTCAATGCACTCCCTGCAGAAGATGTGCCTGCAGGGCAGAGCGCGGATGGTGTCGGTGACCCGGTCCAGGCAGATGGGGCACCGGTCCTCGCGGGCCTCCACCGGCCAGACCCACGCCTTGCGCCTGCGGTTGGGAGCCACCTCCTGGCTCATGGCTGCAGCTGCCCTGGCGCTGTGGGGCTCCAAGGATGGATTCGGAGCCCCAAGGATGGATTTGCTGGAGGCTGCCTCTTGCGGAGCAGTCGGCAGCCTCTGCGCCTCCACTCGCAAGACTCCTGTCTCACGCACTGGCCAAGTCTCAGTGTCTCGTGCTCCCTCAGGAAGACGCTCACACCTCGAGAGTCGCCAGCAAGACTCAAGGCAGGCTGGGCCCGCTGGGTATTTATAGGCACCCGGCCCATTGTGAGCTCAAGGGCTGACTGTGACTCTGCGATGCCGTTGCCAAGGGCGCGCATAGGGGGAGCTTTGCTGTTGGCTTGTTGTGGCGTTGCTATTGTTGGCATTTGCCTGCCCGAGTCCAGCCAAGGACTTTCTGTGGGACATTTTCACAAGCGGTGACAAATAAACGATTGGTTGAAGCAACCGATGGAATGGATTTGGTGTTGCCATTGATCAGTGCCGTAGCTGTGACCGTGCTGGTGTTTGATAGCCGTGCTAGCAAAGCAAATGCTATCCTGGGTATTTTTCACCAAGAAGGGAAGGGAAGGGCCAGAGCTTAGCTAATCATCTATCTATATATATCTATCTATAATCATCATTTTCAGTAGTTTGTATGTAGATCTTAAGTGTGCCATCAAATTGAAGCACATCTGCATAGAGCTGTAATTCCTGAAACGCAACAAACAAAAACTTTCCTCACGCTTGTAAGGAACCACGACACTGGAAGAGCACATTTTTTTGGTATGCCAAACTTGTTACAAATCTGTGGCTCACCAGGAAACTCGCAGATGTAACTGTGCTGTGTGCTGCAGCCACCCACTGTGCTGCAGTGTCAGCTGGGCTGGAGCTCAGATCCACCCACTTCCTCTGCACCAGGCCCATAACTCTGGAGCTGAAGGCAAAATGCAAATAGGCTGTGCTGAACATGGTTGCCTTCTGGCAAGCAGAGGGATGGCGAAAGTAGAACCCCCAGCATCTCATTCCTTGTTCAACTTCTGAACCACAAGGTCGTGCTTTTCATTACCTCTTTCCCCTGGAAAGAGAAATAAAATGGAATAAAAATCAGGCTAATTTTTACAGAAACAGGGGAAAGGAAATGGAAAAGATCATCCAAATAGTTGAATTAGTTACAGCTGCCTAAACCTCTGGTCCTGATTTGGTGTGGTTTGTTGATGCTAAACAGAGGTAGATTACCATAGTTTTGTTGTTTTTTTTTTTTTTTTTTTGGTGTGTGTGTGAGAGAGAGTGAATGCCTTCCCTGTGACTTCTAGGCTTTCTGAGCCATGGAGCAATCATTCCTTCACCTTGCTGCACTCTTTCCAGGGCAGGATTTACTACTTCTTACTTTTCTAGACTACAAGCAACATCACTGCTCCTGGAATACGAGGTGGGGACTTTCTCCATCAACCTATCTAGATTGTATTTATAAATGTAGAGTGAGAAATTATGTTAAAAAAAAACATGCATAGTTCAAAAAAAAAACTCTGTGACCTAGTCAAAAAGTAAACGTTATGGAAAAATGAAAACTATTTCAAGAGATTGAAAAAGAGAAGAAGTGAAAATAATCAGAAGAAATCTTGTTGCTGTAAATAAGGGATGTAAGTCAGCAGCTCTTATCACTTGTGGTTTCAATTTTGAGAACCTGGCTCAATGAAAAGTAGGAGAGAAGAACAGTAAGCAATGAAAAAAAGAACAAAGATGAGAAATCTACCAAATTAAGGTGATAGATAATCCATAAACAAGATCACTCCTTTTCAGAATGAAAAGAAACCGATGAAATAATGTTCCATGCCTTATTTAAACTGCCAGGTGTCTGTCATTGTCTTCTGAGCTGTAGTGGAACCTTAATTTTTTCAGGTAGCCCCTTAATGTGGGATTGGTCATGGAGCATTGCAGTCATTTTGTTGAAAATGAAACACCTTAAAAAGTGATCAGAAGCTTTTACTGCAACAGACCTTTGTAAATTTGCCCCCCATAATGAGAAGACAAGGGTTGCTTGTCTGTTTTTATCACTTATGTGTACTTATTTTTCCCCCACAGGTTGTCTGGTCACTATGAACAATGGCCCAGCTATACTACAAAAAGGTAAACTATTCACCATACAGAGATCGGATCCCACTGCAGATTGTGCGAGCAGAGGCAGAGCTCTCAGTGGAAGAGAAGGCCTACCTCAGTGCTGTGGAGAAGGGGGACTATGCCAGTGTGAAACATGCCTTACAAGAGGCAGAGATCTACTACAACATCAACATTAACTGTATGGATCCTCTTGGTCGCAGTGCCCTTCTAATAGCCATAGAGAATGAAAATCTGGAGATCATGGAGTTACTTCTGAGCCACTGCGTGTATGTGGGAGATGCTCTGCTGTATGCAATACGGAAAGAGGTGGTGGGAGCTGTGGAGCTGCTGCTGAATTACAGGAAGCCAAGTGGTGAAAAACAGGTTGGTCAGGTGTTTCAGTTCAGACTTAAGCTGTTACTTTAATAAAATCTTGTGTTAGGAAAGAGATTCTCCACAGTGAAGGTGCTGTTCAAGAGTCATAAAACGAACTCCTTAATGTGCATTCATTGCTTTAAATGCCCAGAGCGAATGAGGTACTTTGATAACTTTCTTGTCTGAGCAAACGTGCTCAGCCTGACTTAACTCGACATTTTCAATTTCACTCAGTGTTCTTCTTAGTCTTACAGTGTTTGTGGACATAGGGATTTCTAGGCTGATTTATAGACACACACTTTGTAAAGGAACTTGGAGCTGTCTGAAATTATATTACAATCTATAAATATGAAGTACTGCCATGCTCTCGCACTGGTATTAATAAGTGGAATTGCTTTTTGTAAGTAAATCCTGAAAACATATAAGCTTATAAATAATAGTAACCAAGGAAGCAGTCTGCTAGCTTTCAGTACTTAGCTGTAGTACAGACATGTATCTTGGTCTCCATCTCTGGGGAATCTAGTTCAGTAATGCAGAGGCAGTACATAACATTGCAGCATGAGCTGAGGTGCTGTATATCTGAACAATGAACAGCTATTTCTTGTAGGAAAGATCATTAGTTACAAAGCCACCACTAAGGCATATAGGAATCTTTGTGAAAAAACACAAAGTACAAATCTTACCATTTTAAGTGTCATGTACCACACTGTCCCTAGCTTTTTTCATCTGTGCTTAACACTGCCAATAACTGTGATAGTTTATATGCATTACTGACCACTGTCAATTTTTACAAGCTCAGTGCTTTGAAAGGAACTTTCAGAACTGATGGTCCTGATTTCTCAAATCCTCTTTTGAGATCTACTTGGATGCAGCCCTTTGTGTGTGAAGGAAGAAAAAGATTACTGTCGCTTAGCCGTAAGAATTTCTTCAATGGGTGGGCCTTGGTACATAGTTTTTAAATAGCAGTTTTACGTAGCCAAAGCAAAAAAGGAAACACTGAAGGCTAACCCTGACCACACTGAAGAGTACTCAGCTTAGTAGTTAGAAACATCAACTTGCAGCGTGCTATAGCAATGTGATGTAAGTCCTAAAGAGATGGAGAATCTCTTCTACTAGACCTAAACATGGAAACATTAGTCTATAGGCTTTAAAGTGTCAAAATGTAAGTAGCAAGACATGAGCCACAGATGAAGAATGAGCCCTTTTTTTTTAATCAATCTTCTAGAAAGTTTGATCATCCTGTGCCCCAATGTAGCAGAAAGTAAAATAGAAGGATAGATCATGTTACTAAATGTTTTCCAAGGTAGCATGAGGCACTGTGAATAATTGTTGCAGACTAATGACAAGTTTCTCTTAAAATATCATGAAAAGCAAGAGATGGGATTCTTGTGGCTTTCTGTCAGATTTCTTGAACACCACAACTTCTGTCCAATCAAGTTCAAAGCCTTGGTGGCATAACTTGATGGGAACAGACGCCCATGAAATAAGATGGCTTTATTGCATCTCATCTCCAGCATCTCTCTGTCCGTGACGCGTTTCATAGTAGGCCTGTGTCTTTTTTTTTTTTTCTATTTTTACCAGTGTGAAGCTTTCGTTCTCTAGCTAGTTTTATATCTGCTGCAAAGTTTACAACTTGAAGGGGAATATGTGTGGGAGAAGAGATGCAGAGCCAGTTTCAGCTTTATTTACAAGGTTAGTTGCAAGACCAGATTTCATTGGTACAATTTTCAGCTGGTGCTGGCTTGATGCATGATCCTGTGTGGAAATCAGAATTTACTTCTCCAGCTTATGGTTCATGGTCTTCTGTGGACTGCAGGAAATGCTGTCAGCAGAAGGCTGCAGGACTGACCTTTCACTTTTCCAGTTTCACTGATAGTCCATGCAATGATGGTAATTAAAATTTATTTCATGTACAGTTAATACTACAACAATTGTAAAGAAGTACTTAGTTAAGCAAAGGTGGGATGCACTGGTGAGCTTGTCAAATCACAAAACTAATATATGAGAGCTTTTAGAATGTGACTTCCTAAGGCTAATTTGAGACTAGTATCAGCGCACATTCAGTAATTATCTTTGTTGGACCCTTTCTCAGAAAGTCCTTTGGGAATCCCAAATCTAATTACTTTCACAGAAAGCACCTGTTAAATCAGATTAGCACAACATTTCCTAATCAATTACTCATATCTTTAAAAAACATACAGAAACCTGCTTTTTTTGGTTGAGTAAATACCAAAATTCATATATCTTGGAATAGTTTCTGCTTGGATGAGGAATTTGTAAGATAGTAAAATAATTAATATTGGTACTTGGTACTTTGATAACTTTCTTGTCTGAGCAAACATGCTTGTATATAAGGTGTAAGTTAATCTGTTCATGAAACCTACGTAAGGTTGAGTTTTCCTGAACAAACCTGTGAAGGCAGCTCCTTGGCTGAGGCGTAGCAGCCTGTGCCCATTTGGGGCTGGCTCTTTGTCTCTGTTGTACACCAGGCAGAAGTGAAAAGGACGCATCTTCTGACTGTGCTCCTAAATGCAAAATGCACCTCCTCCTTCATCTAACAGAGCCTGGGGCTTACCAAAACCTCCTAGCTCCCATTTTCTTATTTTCTACTTCTGAGAGGTTGTTTTTTGCCTCCATACCAAAATCTTGTTTCTTGAACTGTCAGGCATGAGGAGCTGCTCTTTTTTGTGCTTGTTCATGTCAGCTCAGTTAATTATTCTTTGCATCTCCAAGGCAGCTGAGCAGCACAATCCATTTTACAGGCATTTATTTTGCCCGTTCCCACAACCTTATCCTTGTATTGCAACCCCAACTGAAAATGTCACAGGTTGCATTATGCCAGCCTCTTGTGGGGCTACAAATAGCAAAAGATCTAGATATCTAGATAACAAAAGATGCACCCAAACACAGCACAAGGGGTAGAAAACACTGTGTTCCCATTCAGACTTAACCTCAAAGCTTGGCTCACCAACTACAGAGCCTGCAAAAGGTGATGTGTCCTGGGCACTGCAGACCTGGCTCTCCATCTGCCTGAGGGGAAGAGCTCTGCTTTCTCTTGTGTGATGACCTTCCCAGGGAACAGAAGTCAGAAAATCTTCTTATATTTGAAGTGACCTTTGTTGTGTTCCTTGTGTAGGAGACTCTGGGTCTTGTTCATGATGTAAGGGACAGTTAGAAACAGCTAAGAAGACCATGCAACAGAGATGTTCACATCCTGTTTTTGAAGGACTGCAAGCAGTCATTTCGCAAACCTTTGCTATGCTGCTGTTTAAGCACCATTTACTGAAAATACTGTGACAGTGGCAGGGGTAAGTCATAGCCAGTAACTATAACAACAGAAATCTCCTGCACTGCAGCCGTTTGCGTAAGGGGTGTCTTGGGAGGGGAAGAAGTGACTTTGTTTACATGTAGAGTGTGTGAGAGGCAGGAGCACAAATCAGCCCTTCTCTAAACACCTCTACAAAGCACAAGATAAATGAGCGTGCTGAACAGTGATGTGTTCAGGTAGATATATTTTCTTTTAGAACGTTTCTCCTCAAATCTGTTCTGCCTGGTCCTGACATCTTAGTGCATGTTTTTGTGTAATGTTTTTAGAGTCTCTTGAAAAAGCTGGGGAGAAAACTTCTCTAGTTACAGTCAGAACAGCTCTGTGGCTAATGAAATTACTGATGTTGGGAAAGATGCTGTCACCTCTGGTAGATAAGAGCTGTTATGGTTCAAGTATCTATTCTTGCTGTCACAGGAAAACCATGCAGACATGCTCACATATGCCACTGGATTTGGAGTTAATAGGGAATATGAAGTGACTTCTTTCATTTTTGAAATGAATACTGCTGTAGGAGTGAGGGAATATATATGTACATGAAGCCTCGTGAAAAAAATTCTCCTTCCCAGTAAAATCTTCTGTCTCCCCATCTGTTTGATTTTCAAGTTTGGTGTGTTGTTTTTGTGCTGGAAGTCATATTAGAAATTTTTTTGGCCATTCAAATGTCAGTACACTGGATTGTGGTTTCAGCCAGGCTGTGGTCTGCACCTAAACAGCTCTAAGGAGGAAGAGGAAATATAAGGCTGAAAATTCACATTTTCCCATGCATTTAAATCATATTCAATTTATCATTAATAATAGTTTTATTTCTGCAATTTTTGAATCCCGCTGAAATCGGTGCAGAGTTTCTTTTTTACTTCAGATGAAGTCTTAGGAACATTCAGGAATTTTCTAAAGCTTCCTGTGTGAATTCTGCAACATGGCCCTGGCTCCCTGTTAAACATGCATCACGGCTCACAGGGCAGCTCGCTCAGCTTGCACAGATCTCACATTGTTTCTTGCCTTGTTACAGTGGGTATTTGCAGTGCAATGGGCACAATCTGTGCTGACTGCTGAGCCACTTCTGTTCTTTAAGAAGCAGTAATCAGCTGTCTGAATGACTCCATGTGCATGGTGTGGCCATAAGCACCTTTATTGGTAGCTGTTTTCTTCACAACAATCAGAGCTGACATCAAATGTTTACATAAGGAAGATACTAGCATCTCTCTGGTATCTGCCAAAATTAGCAATTTGCTCATGGCAGATGGTTTCGAATTAATCTGGTTCACAGATGGGACTACAAATGCAATTCCTCAATAATGAGAATAAAAAGAAAAGGGACCTCAGTATTTATGACCATGATTCAATTTGTAACGACCGTCCAAAGGCCTTATGAGTCAACAGAATTTCAACAGCTACCTATCTCTATGTCTTTCAGAAGAAGAATCTTAACAAGAAACTAGCCCTGGATACCATTGTAGAGGGGAAACTAGAGAATAAGAGGCAAGTTTTGAAGTTTTAGTTGCTAATCCTCAGATACTTGCTGATATAAGGTTGATACACTTGATAGTATTTTCAAACTTAAAATTTGACATCAAAAATCCCCTTTTAGATGAATTAATGAGTGAAAATCTGTTGCAATCAGTGTAAATATAATGGATCAGCAGCTACGAAGAAACTGTCCTCTTGTGAACCAGAAATTAAA